CCAAGGGGTGGCTCTGGCAGCCCTGCCAAAGCCCTGGACTTCATCCTTCTGCATGCTGTGGAGGTGTTTGAAGCTCCTCTGTTCCCAAGCTGAGACACAGCTGTCTTGCCTGCTGTGCCCGGCACAAAGCTCCGCTATCCCTGTTGTCAACTTGCCAAAACCCATTCAGGAGCTCCACCTGTGACACTGGATGTGTGCGTTTGAGGTTGCAGGAACACATGTCCTGCATGGATTGTATCCCCAAAGGCAGTTGTGCTTTCTCAGTGTGTAAATCAGAGGTAGAAAATCCTCACTTCATTTTGAAATTTCAAGCTGTGTTGAATTTTGTTGTATAGGATTCAAGTTGTGCAGAATTTTTCTCTGTTTCTGCATTTCTGCTCCATACTTTCTGATGATACCAAGTCCCCATGCCATCTCTCTCCTTGGGATGTGCAGCCACCCTCATTTCAGTCTTATTCCAGTGTCTGAAGATCTACATGACCTTGGGATGGATGCTCAACCTGTATTTTTCAAGAAGCAACCTTTGTGTGATTAAACTCATGCTGCATGCCAGTTTATAGCCGATGGCACATTGTTTTTAGCTACCAGAATATGTCAGAGAGCAGAGGAAAGGGTGTACAAGAAAATAAAACCTGAGTGTATCTAGGTGAGAGTGCATTTCTGAACCACATGGTAGCTTGTGAGTGACTAAAGGAGACACTGTCACACTTTCCACATCGGTCCCCCTCAGCAGCTGGAGGAATCAGAGAAGGAAATGCTGGGTTTGGCTTTCAGGAAAGGCTTGTGTGCAACAGCAGCATGGGTGCAAAGAGCCATCTCAGCAGGAGCAGAGCAGAGTCCTGTACCTGTTACACTGAAGTGGCAGTAGTTAAAAGAGCCTTTTACAGTCCATATGTTCCAGTTTTACGAGCCCAGTTCATCCAGCTGCAGGTCCACCTCCCAGCAGGGGACATTTGGGAATCCTATTGCTCCTCCACATCATCTGCTCCTTGCTGAGATGGAGAGAAGAAACCACTTTTCTACCACGTTGGTGGTTCTTGGAGAGATTTTTACATGTATATCTGAACTATAAAGCCTTGAATAATTTACTGGTTTCCAGGGTTAAGAGGAAGATTTATGGTGTTTCCTTCTGGCAGGTGGCTGCTGATCTTGATTCCCCTGAAGAAACAGTTGTGCTAACAGCTCCTTTCTCAGAGCAGCTACTCCAGGTTCATGTTGTTCTGTGCTAAATAGACCAGTGGTGTTGTGCTTCACAATACAGAGAGATTTGCCCCCTGATCTGGTTGCTGTGGAGCCTGCAAGGAGACAAACGGGTTCCCTTCAAATCTAAACCAGTCACATCCCCCCCACCCCAGCAGAGCTGGGTGTGCAGTAACACTGGGCAATGAGTGATTTCCTTTGCTTTTCTAGGAAAGGTCCCCATAGCCCTTAAATCAGACTAAACTGGCAACGGAGCTTAGCGAAAGCTGAACTCTTTCCTTTTGCAAGTATTTGAGATCTGAATAAAACATAACAGAGACCTGAATCTTGGTAGTTTAGTGAGCCAGACTTTTCCCATGAATTAGAAGAAACCAATATAGAGCTATGTACAGAGTACCTGAGAGACGATATTCTCACCGTGATTAGCTGCTGCTCTGTGCTCAGGGAGACTGAGGTTTAGGAGGGAATATTTACATCTCTAGTGAAGCACTGCACTTGTGTGGCCCAGCACAGAGGGGAAAGGGAGAGTGAAGCATTATGGTGGTCCCCAAAATGTCCTCCTGCATTCACTCCTCTGTGCATTGACTCTGGGGTGGACGGGGAGACTCAAAGATCCATCTTTTCCTTTGATCCCATATATTCAGTTTGACTCTAAATGTTGATTTTTTTTCTTTTTTCTTTTTTTTTTTTTTTTCTCTTTAAGAGCAACAGCACACTGTAACAGTGATGTCAGTAGTGTTGGGTACAGAGCAGTCAGGGCTAGGTTTGAACGTGCTCTGGTCTCTCTCACCCCATTCCCACTCATGGACTATCCCCATGGATCAGTGACACTTGTTTATACTCCTCTCAGCTTTACATTTTAATCCTAGATGGTTTGGGGTGGCCTTTGGCTTCCTCTAAACTTAGAATTTTAGGGAATGCAGCAGCAGAGTGAATGGTGATTGTGATACATGGAGTGTGCTGTGAATAGCTGATCTGTGCTGGCACCTGCAGCAGGAATCTCCAGGAGCTTGCCTTTGAGGGTTGAGACTTTTTATAAATAAGAAAAAAATATTAAAAATGGGTGGAGGGAATCCTAGCTATGAACAGTGAAGAGGAGGACTGGAGCGCCCTTGCAGCTTTGAACTGCTAGAAGTTTCATATTTCTTATTTTCAGAAGTACAGTTTTCAGAGCTGGAACCACAGGCATGCTCTGCATTGATCCAGAATGGTGTGGAACACCAGACCCTGCAGCGTTCACTCAGCAGAGCATCCCCCCATGTCCTCCCCCTCAGTCCCTGCACACCCCTGTGCATCCCCCTGCCTTGCTCTGATCCCCTGCTCGCTCCTGTTCCTGCCTCGGGCACTTCCCTCTCTGCCAGAGTGCACCAGGCAGGGTGCAGGCTGGCTTCTGAAAAGAAATCCTGTGAATTAATGGGAACATATTGCTATTATTTCATATAATCACTTTATTTGTAAAGCACAGGCTGCAGAGGTACTCCTGCTGTTGAACCCAAAGCAGCAAATCTATCTATATATCCCAGTCTATACTACATTATGAACAGATGGGTAAAGAAAAAAAAGCAATAAAAACAAATAATAAGAAAAGTTACAATGATAGCAATTTTAAAACACTCCTGGGGGGGGAAAAAAAGTTTCTCCATTTTTTTAAAGCAGTGTGAGATTGAATGAGCTGCACTGCAAGTGCATCCATCCTCTAAGTTCACATGTAAACATCTACTGGCAGAGGAAGAATTGCTTTTTTTCCAAGTGGCTGCCTTCTCGCCTTGTGCCTGTTACAGAAGCAATCATAAGAAACCTGGGTGAGATGTCTGAGGTTTGGAAGCATTTGGGGGTTTTCTTTGATTTTTTTTTTTAGAGTTCCTGGGGAGACAGAGGCCGTGGGGGTGAGAGGGAGGATGGTGCCTCACTTGACAGCTGAGAAAACTCAATGGGAATTAGCAATCTTCTTGAAAGCACGTATTTATCCACATAACTTTCTCTGAACATTATTCTTCTGCCTCTCCTGCAGGAGGAAGCTTCATTTATGAAGAATAGTAGAGAGAAACTACCATTAATCTCATAAAAAAAGAGAAGATATTCAAATATAGCCTTCACCCATAACACCAGCGAGCTCAAAGTAGAGGAAATTTAAAACATTTATGTTGCTCTATTTTTGAGGTCATAAAACACAAGCAAATGGTCTGGCACTGGATGCTGAATTTCTTAAGGAATTTAGTTTAATTAATTAAACTAGTAAACCAATTAATGGATTTGCTTGTAAATTCTTAGAAAATTAATTTTGTGCCCAAAGAGTGTTTTAAATCTGTGAGGGAGGCTGTGTATTTCATACAGAGCTTGAATTCCCATTTCAGATGAATCCAACTCGGCGCTGAGAGAGTTGGAGATACAAGTGATGCATTCATAATACTCGGACCTTCCTCCAAAACTGGCACTTCTCATCAGCTGAATCCGGGGAGGATTTGCAAAATAAAGCCCGTGCTGCTGCCACAGCACCCAGCTCCTGTGCTTTGCTCTGCTGTGACACCTCTAGCTGTACGTGGGCTGGGAATTTACATCCTCCCTGATGCCTCCAGCTGGCTCCTTCATCTGCCATCTCTTCCCTCTTTGATCTGGTCCAGGGCTAACTCAGGTGCGCAGGAGGTATCAGGTAGCTCCAGTAAACAGCAGATCAAAGCTCAGGATTTGCTGAAAAACAGCCCAGCCAAATCAAAGATCTAAACAAAAGCTTATTCACTTTTCCATGTGAAAACCTTGTTCTGATTCCCTGCCTGGCTCAGGGATGACAGGGACATCCTCTGTACCTTGCACTCCTCACAATCCATAGTGACCCAAACATGGAGAGTTCATAATCAAATGTGTCCAGACTCTTGAGGACATGGAATTGGAAGGAAGCAGGTTCCCTAGGGCCCTCAGCAGCTAAAGCCATGTTTTCTCTCACATGGCAATCTTCCACTTTGGGTCTTGGCATCCTTTGATTGAGGAGGGGGCTGCCAGCTATGCCTGGTACCACCCATGCTATCCCACCCGTGCTATCCATTCCTCCAACAGGAATCAGAGCTGCAAAGCAATTAGGAATGGGAGTATTTTGAAGAGGAAAATGGCAGGGGGAAAAAATTAGCATTTGCACTGTGATATTTTTGCTGTTTATTAATAAACAAGCTGCTTTTGTGCCTCCGGGGGCATGAGAGGCTTCAAGCATTCCTTATTTCTTGTGCATTTAGCTTTTTTTTTTTGCTTGTTTTATATGTTACAGGAGATTTGTAGTGTCTTCCCACATGTTGAGTTTCCATATTTTCTTGAGAGCATCACTGGAATAATTCCTCTGGAGGTTTCGGCTGTGTGCTGCCAGGCTGATTTAAACACTTCAGGGATGCAGGATGGATCAGTACTCATTGGGAAGGAGTTATGCTAATTAGGAATAGGTCTGCTCCCTCCTACAGAAGTAGCATGACTTCAGGGAAAAGTGTTTTCACTGAGAGAAAACCCCTGTGCAGAACTCCCCTCACTCTGGGTGGTGTTGGTGACTGATGTGGCCACCTCTGTTCTGTGCTGGCAGCACAGGCTCTTTCCAGGATGGTCAAACCCCTCCTCTCCCCAGTGCCACATTTGTCACCAGGGAAGGCTCCCAGGGGTCCTGCATGGGGGCACTGGGATGCAGGACTCAGGAATGCCGTGTGCCAAACAGATGCCATGTCCTTCCTTGGTGACAGGCGGATCCGTGCCAAAGGAGGCTCCTGTGTCACAGAGGTGAATGAAAACCCTCTGGTATTAATGGGCTTGTTCTTCTTTCCCTTTAGGCCTCCAGCTCCTCTGGTGGAAAAATGCAGCTTCTGGAAACGGAGTTCTCACGAACCATCCGGGAGCTCATCGAGCTCCACCTGCTGCGCCAGGACAGCATCCCAGCCTTCCTCAGCGCCCTCACCCTCGACCTCTTCAGCCGCCAGACCATTGCTTAGTGTCCCACCGCCAGCTGCCAGCCAGGGTTTGGCCCTCCTGGGCAGGACACTTGAGGTAGCAAGGAAAAATTCTCCTGTTCACCAGCCTTTATTTGTGGTTTTGGGTTGTTTCTGTTTTGCAAGGAACTCCTTCTTCCCCCTTCTTTCATGCTGAGTCACAAATCCCACCAATTCTCTGAAAAGCATAGTTTTCCTCCTGTGAGAGGGCAAGTCTAGCTCCATCCCAGGGCTCTCCTGTGACAGGATGCAATCCCTGCCTTTGAACTGGGCCATGTGTTCATCACTACCCAGATTCTCTGTCTGGGAATATGGTGGGAACTGCTGGTGTGAGGAGCCCCAGCATCACCATTCACAGCTTTTCCCAAAAGGATTCCCTAAATCTGAGCCCTAACAAAGAGACAAACCAGCATCAGGCTGGTGCTTCCTGCATGGTTGTCCTCTTCTAATGGCAGCCAAGGGCTTGGTCCTTGAGGACAGAGACCCAGGGAAAGTCTCTTGCTCTTGCAAACATCTCGTCACTCAGCAAGTTTGAAATCATTTTTAAGATATCAGTGACCTGAGTCTGCCATCACTCATCAGACAAGCACAAACATAAATGGCCATCTGAAACTCCTATACCTGTGCTGACACCTCTGTGGCTCAGTCACTGCCATGCTTCTGGTTCCTTACTGAGGAATCAAAACTCTCTCTTACTGAGACTTTAGGGCTCTTGGTTATCTCAGGTCTGTAGAAAGTAGAAAGGAGCAGTTTGGGCTCCATTGTGTTCAATGCTGGTGGCTTTAGCCTGCTGCCTGCCACCACCCTGTGGGTGTCTGTCTTGGGAGGTCTCCTTCCTCCTCCCCTCCATGGGGAGTGGAGCGTCCCCAGAAGTCTGACACTTTGTGTTATAATGGATGTAGTGCTTTTGTCATAACAATAAATTGCCACTGCCCAAACTGGGTGTATGACTCTTATTTGGGATGCACTCTGTGCCTTGCTGTGCTCTCCCACATGTAGAGGATGAGGACATCAATGGTCTGATGTGCTTCACAAAGGGAGGACATCATTACATATGTTTTTCCAGGCAAGTCTCCTTCATAGATTTATAGAATCGTCAATGGTTTGGGTTGGAAAGGACGTTAGAGATCATTTAGTCCCAACCCCGTCTGCCTTAAACCAAATCAGTTTGCTATAAACTTCTGTGTATATTGATTTCCCCCTGATTTCAGCGGGAACACACTCCCATGGCTTGGAGAAAAGGTAGCAGTGAGCAGGCTAGAAAGTTAGCTGAGACACTTGCAGTGACTGCAGGGTTGGCCAGGCTTCCTGGAGTCACTTGGAGACCTGTTGATGTGACTACAGGCATGGAAAACATCTGCTGTTGACCCTATCTGCTACTGACCAGAGGTGGAGGGACAAACATGAGATCTGGGGAGGCTGCAGCCCCCAACTCCCCAACTCTCCTCTCTGCAGGGAAGCGCAATAGCAAAAGTTTATCATTTTCTCTTCTGCTTGAAGAAGTCCCGGTGGAAGATGGATTGCTGGGCATGCTGTGCCAGGGGAAGGCTGCCTGATTCATATGCACGGCGCGGCACGGAGAGTCGCCTTCCCCAGTCATGGGGAAAATGAATCATGACGTCAGCCGCATTCAGCTCCGCCGCCAACACAATAGCAGATCCTGGCTGCCGCGGAAAATTCTTCTCCTGGCTCCTTGCGGGAGAAATGAAGTAATTAATAAGTTTACAATAAACCCTCTATCTTAGCAAAACACAGGTGAGGCGAGAAGCGATGCTGGAGAGCGACAAGGGAAAACACGTTCTGCCCGCTGGAAAGTTGCCTCCCGAGAGTGAAAGGATAATAAGTTGGGAGAGAACACACAGTAGGCTTCCGAGACGCCTCCAGTGGGGAGGAGACATGAATTACTGCTCTGCTCCCTGTTCTCCCAGCAAGACTGATTTGTTCAACTAGGTTTCATGTGGCAGCATGGCTGGGAGAGGTGTGTGGTGAGGATGGGTGCTTGGCTGGGTGTGCTGGTGTGGTGCAGCGTCTGTCCATGGCTTGGGGAGCTGCTGGGTGACTATCAGCAGTGTCCCTGCCCTGCTCATGGCATTACGCTGGAATGGCATTATGCTGGACATAAAACTGGAATTTTTGGGAAGCTTGACATCTCTAAGGCTCACACATGGAAATGTGTGAGTTTTTCATGTGGAGATGTGACCATTGCAAAGCCACTTGAGCCACCTGTGGGCCATGGAGGAGGAGCTGAGACTCCCCAGTTTCTAGTTCCAACACTGAATTCAGGATGCAGCTGCAAACCTATGGCTGTACCTGATACCACAGCAGCTCCCATCTGTCATTATCCTGCTTGTCTGAGCCATGAGGGAGCTGCAAGGAATAACTGTGACACTGAATTTTGCCATGATTGCTCCTTTCTTTATAAGCTACATGGGCTGAGCAGCCCATCAAAGGTGCTGCCACTGTGTTCACCACCCCTGCATCCCCCCTCCATGAGTGCAGCCCCCTGGGGCGGTGCAAAGAGATCCCAGTTGCCACCACCCCAGGTGATGAGGGCACAAGTCCCATCTGGGTTTGGCTCATCACTTGCAAAGCTCCAGCCTTGTTTATGGAAAATCCTTTTAGAAAATCCTGGGAGCTGGATAATAAATTTGCAGTTGGTTGGCGGGGAGAGGCAGGAGTGCTCACAAGCATGTGTGTGCTCGCTGGGTTTCTGTGCACACTGGCTGGGTTTACATGCTGTAGGTTGTGAAATATGATTTATTGGTGCATGCCTGCAGGATTTTGTGTGTGTGTGTGTGTGTGTGTGTGTGTGTGTGTGTGTGTGTGTCAGAGAACCACCTTGTTTGCAGCGTTGCCTGAAGCTTCCCTTCACTCAAACTGCTCGTGAGTCCCTGCTCTGCTACAAACCAGCCCTGCACATCTGTGTGCATATACAAACACCAAACGGGCACGGAGCTGTCGGCTGAAGCAGCAGAGCTCTGGGCTAAGGCAGGTTTCACCAGATTTGTGCCTCTCCCAAAGGCACATCTCTGAACCTGGAGCCTTTTGCACCTGCTTTGTGTCTCCTGGCTCTTGGTGTTGTCACATGTGGTTCGCGTTGTCCTGGAAGTGTGCGATGCCTGAGAAGGAGCCAGGGAAACCCTTTTGGGATGAGCCATGAGAAGTTTGGAGTTTGTGGGTGTTAGTTTTGGATCTTCTCCATGTGACACTATAAGAGCACGGGAAGGAGAAGGGGGAGAGCATTGGAGCCATGATGGAGGTGGAGAGTGAAGGGCAGGAGCAGAGCAGGGGATGGGTGGATGGAAGAAATGGGGCATGGATGGAAGGAGAAGCCACCTCCCTTTCTGAACAGCTGCAGTGCCAGCCGTGCTGTCAGTTCTCCATTGCTCCCCTCTGCTCGCTCCAAACACGGAGCAGCACCTGCCCTTTTCATTTCCCAACCCAGCAGTGGGCTCAGAGGCAGCTGAGGGTGGTGTGAGCTGGGCTGATGGGCTGAACTGTCAAAATAAACCCCAGGGTGTGACAGGCAAGAGCTTTCCTCAGACATCACAGAGCTGATGCCAGACCCCTGCTGCTCGGGGTGTGAGAGGGCACAGCCAGGGCAGGATTGGTTCTGTTGGAGCTTTTAGCTGTTCAGAGATCTTGGGAAAACAATGGTGGTGTCTGATGCCAGGTGACTGTAGCTAAAGACAGGAGCTGGGAGGACGGAACAGGCTCTCTGTGCTGGTGTGAATCACATTCCTGCTGCCTGCTGTGACAGCAGATTCAGATTTAATAGCAGCGTTGCTAAAACTTGCATGATATTTAAAAGCTACAAAATGCACCCACTCTGATCAGGGGAGGGATGTTAAATAAATAAATAAATAAATAAATAAATAAATCAGCAAAGCTTTTTCATGAAGTCTTTTTTAAATATTAAAATCCCATCCTTCCCAACAGGAAAGCTTTTTTCAGGCTAAGAGGAAAGACTGAACGGCATCTGATGATATCGCATTGACACAAGTGTCTAGAAAAATAGGGTAGGAATGTATGATCTGTTCTGAAAAAGGAACCATAGCTAATAGGAAATATGCTGATGCTACTTTTAATTTCATGACTCAGGTTTACTGCAAAATTGATGGAAATCTGTGTTGGAGCTTGGTTACATTAAAACAGTTCTTGGCTGCTTGGGGGTTTTCCAGTTCTTGTTTCTCTTTTGGGGGATTATTATTGTAAAATCTCTTGCTACTCTGGAGGTTTGCAGATGTTATTTAAAAGGACAGGGGTACAGTCTTTTATCCGAAAGAAAGAGGAGATTTTTGCTCCAGAAAGATCACTGGCCAAAGCCCAGCCCTGGACAGGCCATCCCAGCAACCCCTCATGTTCCTTCCACACACGGTGTTGTGTCTCCAGCCTTCCTTCTGTGTATGTTTTCCCTCAGAGCAAGTACAAGGAACAAAACAGAAGGAAAATACACTTTAAAGAAAATGCTAGCATGTAATTCAAGGAGCACAAAGGCAGCTCCTTGCTGCTGGAGGTCTCAGAAGCAGCCTGTGTCTTTGGTCTCCACCCAAACCACATTCCTCCACCAAAGGACATTGCCTTGGGTTGTGTCAGTTTTCTTCTGCATCCCCAACATGGGCTCAAGCCTCTACCAACCCCTTCATCTTCCCTGCGCTGTTTCCTGGCCCAGGCTCCAGTGCTGATGAGTTTATTAGAGTTGCTAATTTTACGTGATGCTGCTTCCTTCTCTTCATGACAGGTTATGTTTTTTTGAACTCTCCAGCTGATTGATTGAGCTCTCTTTAATATTCTGTGTTTCACTTTGAATTCTCTTTGTTGACTATTGCTTGTTATTGTTCTGTTTCGTTTTGTTTTTTGTTTTTTTTTTTTTTTTCCTTTAATCCTCCCACCATCTCTTTTTCCTTCCTGGTCCTTCTATTTCTTCTTCAGCCTGGAGAAAAGCCAGAGACCATTGGGAGGTCATGGAAACACAGACGGCTGTAGGATTTAAATAAGGACTGGATAATTTTATGACCATTAACAAGGCTCACTGCTATGCAAACCAAAGTAATAAGGGCAATCATATCTCATGGTTCGGGGAGCAAGTTGATTGCCTGCAGGGACTGAGAAGGTAATTCTGCATCCCTGACTCCCCCCAAAATATGATATAGTTGACAAGATGCACCAGGCAGGTCAAAGGGCTTGGCTAGAGGGTGAGAGCATTTCCCTTATCATCTCTATTGTCTCACTCCATTGATGTGGTCAGAAACTTCTGGTATCAGCATGATGGGAAATGTCCTCCAGGCAGATGAAAGGCTCTGAAGGTTGGCAGATGAACCTTTCCTCTTAAGGAGCATCTGCTGAGTGACACTTGTGCTGTACGATGGCAGATACTTCACTCTGCTGGTAGTGACTGCTGCATCTGCCAGGCTCCATAACCACTGCCAAGGAGTGGCCTTCCTAAAAGAAACACAGACCGTGGATGTCACTTGGGTGCTTCATTTTGGGAGTGCCTCCCACTCCCCACTGACCATGCACAGCCTTGTTCACAATGGGGTGATGGAGAATCACACTGTCCCTCCTTCATCTTTCTCTGCAGTGTGGCTCTCCTGGCTCCTCCATGTGCCTGTGCCTTTCCCCATCTCCTTTTGGGCTCTCCTGGTGCTTGTGCCATTCCTCATCTCCTTTTGGACTCACCTGGGCCTTCTGTGTGCCTGTGCCTTTCCTCAGCTCCTTTTGGGCTCTCCTGGCTCCTCCATGTGCCTGTGCCTTTCCTCAGCTCCTTTTGGGCTGTCCTGGCCCCTCTGTGTGCCTGTGCCTTTCCTCAGCTCCTTTTGGGCTCTCCTGGCTCCTCCATGTGCCTGTGCCTTCCCCCAGCTCCTTTTGGGCTGTCCTGGCCCCTCTGTGTGCCCGTGCCTTTCCCCAGCTCCTTTAGGGAGTCAGGCTGCAGCCCCTG